TATGATATTCTGTTTTTCTTTAGTTTATGTCTTTTTATGAATATACTTCATCCAAGTTATCTAATTTGTTGGCATATAATTGTACATAGTATTCTAATCTCTTATTTCTGCAAAGTTGGTAGCAATGTTCCCACTTTCATTTCTGATTTTAGTAATCTGAGTCTTCTTGGTCAATCTAGATGTGTCAATTTTTTTAAAGGATGAACTTTTGGTTTGGTTGACTCTATTGTTTTCCTATACTCTATTTCACTTTTTTATGCCTAATCTTTACTATCTCCCTCCATCTGTTAGTTTTGGGTTGAGTTTGCTTTTCTTTTTCTAGCTTCTTAAAGTGGAAGGCTAGGTTATTGATTGGAGATCTTCATTCTTTTTTAATGTGTGTTACAGCTATAGATTTCCCTCTGAGTACTACTTCCATCACATCCTGTAAGTTTTACTATGTTGTGTTGTTTTCTTTTCATCTCAAAGCGTTTCCCAATTTCTCTTGTGATTTCTTTTTAACCTATTGGTTATTTAAGAGTGTGTTATTTCCATACATTTGTACATTTCCCCAATTTCCTTTTCATCAATGACTAGTTTCATTCCACTGTGGATGAAGAACATACTTTGTATGATTTCAATCCTTACAAATTTGAGTCTTGTTTTTACACTCTAACATATAGTCTATCCTAGATAATGTTCCATGTGAACTTGAGAAGAATGTGCATTCTGCTGTTGTTGGATGGTGTTCTGCAGATGTCTGTTAGGTCTAGTTAGTTTATAGTGTTGTTCAAGTCTTACATTTTCTGGCTGATCTTTGGACCAGTTGTTCCATTCATTATTGAAAGTGGGATACTGAAAATTTCAACTATTATTACTCAATTGTTTATTTCTCTCTTCAATTATGACAGTTATTGTTTCATGTATTTTTGTCATATTCACATTTTTTAAAAAATTGAGGTAAAGTTGACACACAATTGCTTCAGGTATTTTAAGACTTGCCGAATGCATATAATCATGGGTTTTGCATTTCTACTGATTATTACACATTTTTACTTAAATGTGAAAAAGTTAACTGTTTGGTCCCAATTATACATATTCCAAAATAGGTAACAATAATCTAGAGCAGGGGTCAGCAAAATTTTCTGTAAAGGGCCAGACAGTAAATATTTTAGTCTTTGAGAACTACATGGTCTCTGCTGCAACTATTCAACTCTGCTCTTGTAACACAAAAGTGGTCATAGACTATAATTACATAGCACCCTCTCTCCTTTCTCCCTCCTGGGCCAACAGAAATACAATAAAGTATTTTCTTTATAAACTGGAACTGCCATCATAATAATGACATAAAGCCTTTTTTAAGGTTTTTTTTATAGACTATTATTGTAAACAAATCAATAGAAGCACTCCATAGTCAGGATATAAAAACAGCTGAATTCCACAGGGTATTTATTAAATAGGAGTTTGTTGAATAATTGTGTGAGCAGTAAAAGCATTAGCTTACTTAGCCACTTGAACTTTTGCTCCACTGAGAGCATTTGACATATCCTGCCTTTCTAAATAAAGTGAGCTTCATTTATATATTTCTGACCTCTCTCCCTATTCATCTGTCTCATCCCCCAACACAGGGCCATACATAAAAAAGGAGTTGAAAAATATATTTTCAATCAGTGCTCACAATCAAGGAGCTGGTGAGCCAAACATGTTTTGTTTGGCCATTATCATGTTTTTAAACTGAATGTGAATACCTTTAGGCAGGGCATTACTTCTCCAGTCCACCACAGATCCTACTGCTTCCTGCTATTGAATACCACTTCATTGTTTGTCTTCTCTTCCTGGCCAATGAAGCCATTTTAATTTGTGCCCCATATGCTAAATAAAAGGAAACATTTTTGCAGATTACTCTTATCTCTATGCTATGAGTTGCTAATCTATAATACCTGTATGTAAAGTTTCGCTATATACTTTAATAAAATTCCTTTTTAAAAATGTGTTCTACTCCCTAGAAACAATATAAAAAGATATGTACAAGATTACACATAGTATGTAAATTAAATGGATTTATAGGAAAAGAATATTAGAAAATTCACCAAAATATCAGGTTATTAATCTCTGTGGGATTACATATTTTTCTTCTTTAATTTTTGTATTTTCAAGTTTTCTGCAATGAGCATAAATTACATTTACACCCAGGAAAAATTCTTCTGCCAAAACAAAAACTTTCACAAATTCAACTTGACTGTCCTTTCTGGTCTTTAAATTTAGGATGAGGAAAAATAAATAAGTAAATACTATGTGCCAACTTGGTCCTAGGCCCAGTGCTAGATGCTTTACATTCAACCATGAAAATGCTGTGAGGAAAGGGGTGGTAAAACACCCATTTTTAACTATAGAAACTCAGTTTTATTTTATAGAAAAATCTTGAAATCTCCAGGGCACAGTGATATAGAAATCTGGAGAAAGGAAGGGGGGAAAAGAATGGAAGTCTTTAAGAAGAACTAAAAGCAAGGAAAAAAACAAAAGAAGATAATGAAAGATAAAGGCATAGGAAATGATCATTTATTGATTCATACATTCATCAAATATTTAGTTTCAACTATTTCAAGACACTTTGCTGGACATTGTGGGGCATTCAATGATGGGCCTGAAACTGATCAAAAGATAGCATACATATGACAGTCCTTCTACACACATTTCACATCATAGCCTGTTGTAATGGAGCATAATAAAATTGTAGTGATGTGTTTGTGAAGAAATAAAATAAAGGAAAATAAAAGTTGTCTGTTAGGTACAAAGTAACTTCAAAATGAGTTGACAGGAAGAAGTAATTACTTCTGGCCAGAGAGATAAAGGGGGACAGCGAAGAGGTGCACAGATGGAGAAGAGGTGGATGCTTATATTAGGCAATGGGATACTTAGAGCTGTTTCCTAGTCATCTCTCCCAAGTGGACTGAAGGTCCCTCAAACTGTGTCCCCAACACAATCTGTCATCCGCCACCTCCTCTGTGTTCCTTTCCCCAATAGGTTTATTATCCATTCAGAAGTTCATTTATTCAACAAATGATCACTGAGTGCCCAGTATGTGTGGGTACTCGGTCTAGTAAAAGGCGCAGATATTAAACAAGTAAACAAAAAAATATAAAAGGAAAAGTGAAGAAAATGTGAGAGAGAAAAAAATGAGAGTATTTAGATTGAGTTTCCTACAAAACCTCTTTGAAGAAATAACATTTCTGAGAACTCAAGGATGAAAGGGAACTAGGAAGATTCATGGATGAAGGGGAGGTTCCCAGCAGAGAGCAAAGAAACTGAGAAAGAAAAGGACTTGTCGAATTAGTTCTAAAAAAAAAGTCTCTGCAACATCAAGGAAAAGGGGGTGAGTGTGGTGGGAAACGAAGGAAGAGAGTTAACCAGGACTTTGCGGTTTGTCACAAATTCTGAATTGCATTCTAAATGCAATAAAGTTACAGCACCCTAAACACAGATGCCACCCTTTCCCTCCTGGGGCATACAGCCTAGTGAGGAATACAAACCATCAGACGACTGATTTAAAACCACGTGATGAGTGTTGGGGTAGGGGTCATCTAGAACGCTGTGAGAACAAGGAGGATGAACACCTAATTCAGCCTGAGGGAGGAACCACTGCCACCACTTCTCAGTCAAGTATGCAGCCTCTAGTGTCCACCTTCCAATCAGTCAGGATCTTCCACGCTGCTTCCTGTCACCCTAACACAAAGGAGAGCATGCCAAAACCATCTGTGACTTTCCGGAGGGTAAATTCCAAACACTTTGAGTTCATGGCACTGTTTGGCCCTAACCTTGATCTTCTTGGGTTAAACTCCTACTACTTATCTATCACAATGATTTTCAAACTTTTTTGTACTAAACTCATAGTATGAAATACATTTTACCAGTACAAACACACATATCCACATTAAAAAAAAAAAAACCACTAAAAGCTTCAAGAGACAATTAAAGTAAGATTGCTCTGATCATTTTTATTCTATTATTTTATTAAAATACTGGTTCTTATTCAAGATCTGCTAAAGGGTCCTGGCCTGCAATTTAAAAATCAGAGACTGCCCCCTCCATTACTACCTTCTCTACCCAGCTCTCAATAAGCTCTGTTCTTTCACTCTTCACCCAGGCAGTCCTGGATGTCAGGAGTGCCCTACCCTTCCTTCTTCATTGTCCATTCACCTAGCAATTTCCTACTCAATTTTCAAGACTCCACTCACATGTTACTTCTTCAGAGAACCTTTCCCCTAATCACTATGCTTCCCTGGGAGTAGCACGCCCTGAGAGAAAGCACTTGTCATGGAGAGTGCGTTGTAATGACTTTTATTTTTAACAAGCTCATCTGCTCCGACCTAGGTTTCTGGAAGTCCGCAACCTAGCTGTTTTATCTCAGGTTCCAAATAGGGTCTAATCTAAAGCCAAGGCCATGGGATGTTACACTGAATAAACGAAAACTGATCTCATCCAGTACGATCTTCCCAAAACCCTTACCGTCTTGGCTGTGCACGAAACAGTCTTCTTTGTATTCCTTAAACACATCGAAGTCTTTCCTCCCTCAGAGGCTTACTGTGCCACTCTTTCTCCCAGCCATTTCTATGGCAGACTGCTCCTCCTTTACTTTCAGATCAGTAGCTTACTCTCAGAGAGGCAGTCTGCCCAATCTCCCATCGCATTTCCTTTGTCTTTATGACATTTATCACTCTCTGAAACTATACTGTTTTCCGTGTGCATTTTTTTAACGCATCTGTCGCAGTCTAGTATGGCTCTTTGAGGGACAGACAGGTCTGCTGAGTTTCCTCAAAGACTTCAGCACCTAGAACAGTGCATAACGTAGAGCAGGCACGCAACAAAATATCCGCTGATGAATGACTGAGTAAAAGAGGACGAAAACGATGCACCAGAAGTCTTAGGGACCTGTCTTGAAACCTGCTAACGAGAACCTAGGCCCAGACCGGTGATTGGGAGAGAAGGAGTTGAGGCGCCTCGGTGCCACATTTCAGGCCTACCAGTAATAAGTGACTGTGCAGGCTGTGCACATCCGTTCAGCTGGAGCTTCGCACACCTCACAGTAGAGCCGGCGCCCCTTGGGCACAGCCAGTGGATAGATCACGTTCATGTTGCAGCCAGCGGTGTCAGACTCCAGGACGGTTGCCTGGCGACGATGCGCCTGATGCCAGTGTCACGAGATCACCACTGGGCAATGGCATTCGCAGCATTTCAAGGGCGAGGGCGTGGCTTGACAAACATCTGAAGTCTGTGGGTTTTCACATTCAAGTCCCAACCCAAGTACACACACACACACATACACACACACATTTGCACACGTCCCAACCCAAAGGTTAAATGGCTGAGTAATCTAACTCCAGTGTAATCTGCAGAAAGATTTATACGGTAGCCGGTAAGAGTCAAGCAAGAGTACTTCTTTGCCCAGAGTAGGAAACAGCAAACATGATCCTTCCAGATGTCTGCCCCAGTGACTCGCGTCCGCTCGCTCTCAATTTCGCCGGGCTGTGAGGCAAAACCAGCATGCATTTTCAGAAGTGGAGAAATCCGGAGCTGCCACCTAGCCTAGGATAGCGATCCTCCCCCTCCCACTGCGGCGGCGCACTTACCAGGTGGGCAGGAGAAGGGAGGAGGCTGCCCGAGAGCGTGCGCAGGCGCGGGTGAGCCCTGGGACTCATGGCGGAAGCGGACCTAGTCACCGAGTTCCCCCAACCCGACGGTGCTGCGCGCTGTGCCGAGGTTATGGCTCGTTTCGCCTCCAAGCTGCGCACGCAGGGAAAACGGGTAGTGTTAGTAACGTCCGGCGGCACCAAAGTCCCGCTGGAAGCTCGGCCAGTGCGCTTCCTGGACAACTTCAGCAGCGGGCGGCGCGGTGCAACCTCGGCCGAGGCCTTCCTGGCTGCAGGCTACGGGGTTCTCTTCCTCCACCGCGCTCGCTCTGCCTTCCCCTTTGCCCACCGCTTCCCTCCCCAAACCTGGCTGTCAGCTCTGCGGCCCTCCAGCCCAGCCACTTCGGGCTTCCTGAGACTGGAAGTCGAGGAGAAGGCACTTCCCGGCTTTGCTGCGGCTCTGCGGAGCTACCAGGAGGCTGCGGCTGCGGGCACCTTCCTGGCGGTGGAGTTCACCACTTTGGCGGACTATTTGCATCTGCTGCAGGCTGCGGCCCAGGCGCTCAATCCGCTAGGTGTGTGCCGTAGGAGTCCATCGGCTGCCCGGAGGCAGAGCCTTTCTCCCCACACACTTACCCCTTACACCCTCATTACCCGCCCGAGTCTCACAGCAGGGCAACCTGAGTTGAAAAGGAGCTGATCCCATACACCTCTCCGATTTATTACACCCTGTGCTTCTCTTGCAGGCCCTTCTGCGATGTTTTACCTGGCTGCGGCCGTGTCAGATTTCTATGTTCCTGTCTCTGAAATGCCTGAACACAAGATCCAGTCATCTGGGGGCCCACTGCAGGTGATGGGCGCTTTTGTTCTAGAGATCTGGTCCGCTCTAACCAATCTTGGGTTAATTCCCTCATGATCTGCATATGGCCTTTCTGCATTTCATGTGTTCTAGGCACTAGGGATACAGAGATGAGTAAGACACAGGCCTCGCTCAAGGACTTGCCAGTTTAGTGAAGGAACTGGACACAGGCATAATTACAATGGAGTGATAAACATTCTAGTAGAGGTACTGACAAAGTGAAGTCAGAGCATGGGGTGACTGAATCTTGGGGAAGGCAAGGAAGGCTTTCTGGAAGTGACTTGAACTGAGTTTTTAAAAACGTGCAGGCACTGGCTGGTGCGGCTCAGTGGAGTGAGTGTAGGCCTGCCAACTGAAAGGTCACCAGTTCGTTTCTGGTCAGGGCAATACACATTGATGATTCTGTCCCTCTCTTTTTCCCTCTATTCCCCTCTCTCTAAAAATAAATAAATAAAATCTTAAAAAAAAAAAAAAAAAAGGATGGGCAGAGGCTATACCAGGCAAAGTGGAGAAGGTCGTCCTACACAGAGTATGCAGTTGGAGTTTGGGAAAGGGCAGTGACTATGAACCGAAGTTGGTTGATAAGACTGGAGAGCAGGGAGAGTGGTGGGAATGGAGGGCAGAAGAGACAGCTTACTTCACAGAAGACTTTCTATCCCTTTTTAAGGAGCCTGGGCATTTTATCCTGTGGAGCCAAGGGGAACATAAGTAGGAGAATGAAATGAAGTTGTTTTTCGTTTTTATTTTTTTTAGAACATTCTGGCATCAGTATTAAAGGTGAATTAGATGGAGAGAGAGGTGTGTGTTGGTTAGGCGAGGGGTTTTGCTATAGTTTAAGGAAGAGGTATGGTGAGTGCAGTGGTGTGGCTGAGATGTGAGGTGATCTGGCTTCCTGTAACCTGAGGGAGTTGTTAGTGATTTATTGGGTGATACAAATAGAATTTAAATAGGAAAGACTCCACCTGTGGGACAGTTATTGGCTTTGTTGGTTAGTTCTTTTGTTTCCTCAGCAAATATTTATTAAGCACCTACTATATGCCAGGAAATATTATAGGACCCAGAGGTAACATACTGTGCCTTTGTGTTGCTCATATTCTGCAGAAGAGACAATAAGTTAAATGCATACTATGTTATGTAGTGATAAATGCTAAGGAGAAAAATTAAGTGGAGAATGGGTATATGGTCCCTACCACACTTTCTAGATTTTTGAAGGGAAAACCTGATGATAAGTGATTTCATGCTATTTAAATTCTGGGAGCTTTAGTTTATCTTGCATTTATTAATTGTACTTTGGAAGTACACAAAACAACTCAACATTCCCTTTAGAAGTGATTGAGAATGGTATAGTGGGGTTTTGATCAAATGCAAATAAAGAAAATCAGTTCTAAGTGCTAAGATGTGCTAAAAGTGACAATTTTTAAATGGAATCGAATAGCCATTCTACCTGTGCAAAAAATATTTTAAGCTGAGAGTCTTAAAAACCTAACTTTATTTGAGCTTCTGCCAAAGTAACTTTGGCATGAATAAATTATTTGTATGTATTTATTTAAGGGTTTGGCTTAAAAACTAAAGGGAGGTATTTGAGAAAGTGTAATGTTTTTCTTTGGAGCTGTAGTAATAGTTCTGAGGGTGGCAGAGCAAAGCTGATTCATAAGACATGGTTTGCCCAAGAATATGTATGAAGACTTGAAATTAGGCATTCTTACAAACCTTACGGAGCCAAAGCTTTTAGCTAAGCATTTGCTACACTTTGAAAAGTTTAACAATGAGAAATTGAACTTAAATTGCTGTAGCCAGAATCTGAGCCCCTGCTTCCTTAGTTTCCCACAAGATTGACCTGGTAGGTAGTGACCTTTGTTTGCTTATTAAGCTTTTTTTTTTCCACCCCCAACACAGATAACAATGAAGATGGTGCCAAAAATGCTTTCTCCTTTGGTTAAAGACTGGGCTCCCAAAGCATTTGTAATTTCCTTTAAGTTGGAGACTGACCCCTCCATTGTAATTGATCGTGCACGGAATGCTTTGGAAATTTATCGACATCAAGTGGTGGTGGCTAATATCCTTGAGTCACGACGGTCCTTTGTGGTTATTATAACCAAAGACTCAGAAACTAAGTTATTGCTATCAGAGGAAGAAATAGAAAAAGGCATGGAGATAGAAGAGAAGATAGTGGATAATCTTCAATCTCGACACACAGCTTTTATACAAGACAACAACTGAAGGATAAAAAAATCACAGAACCAAAAATTGTTCAGTAGACCAGGGCTCTTACAGATGGTGAGAACTAGAATAAACCCTTTGCTTTCCTAAAGACAGAAAATGAAGGGAAAAAAACAGTGAGTGGTGTGCAGGCAAATATTGTTTGCTATTTGCCTTTCAAAGGTCATTTCATACTCATTAAAAATGAAAGCAAAAGCAAAGCAGTTATGACCTACCCACCTGACACATTTGCCTGAATGTCATCTTGATATTGAACACAAACATGAGCTGTTTCTCACCCTTAAAAAAGAGCTTACTGGGAACTCTACTCCTTAAAATATATATGGGGCCTGAGTATCAACCATCTTCATACTATAAAATGGATTATGGATTCATGAAGGCCATGCTTTGAAGATAAATAGTTGTTAACACCTACCATGTGGTAGGCCTTGATAATTATGAGGATTAAAAAAATGAATAAACATTTTAGTTTGGGAAATAGATATATAAAAAAATTAAGTGCAATAAAGTGTGTGCCCAAAAGTTGTCACAATGGAAAGAATTTTGTTCTTTGGAGATTTATCAAAGATGGGAGTAGGAGAGAAGAACACCTCCCTGAAGACAGATTGCCTGGGGAATGATGAGCTCACTACTACTTTACTTTTTGCTGTCTTGTCCTAAATTCACTCCAAGTCTGAATGAACAATTTACCTTTCCAATATTTTAGGACTGCTCTTTAGGGAAACAACCTGGGCTTCCACCACGAGCCAGGCGGGGGCCAATTGCTAATCTCTATCCTGAGGGAAGCATTAGTGTGGTAAAGAGCATGGACTTTGGAGTTGTCTTAGGTTTGTGACATCTCCAGCTGTACCACCTATTAGCTCTATCAACTTCGACACCTGACTTAATTTCAGCTTCCTCATCTTTAAAATGGGGATAATCTCTGGAAATCAATGCCATTTGTTGTAATGATTAAATAAAACTGAAGATAAAGCATTTGTCTGGTGCCTGCACGTAATTCACACTCAATAGATGATTGTAATTCTTGTTTTCTTCACTTAGAAAGGCAAAGTTAGGCTGTTGCCCTGCTCCATCTTTGAATCCTTGAGAAGTTTTGAAACCAGAAAATTCTTTGTTCGTGCTGTCTGTCACCACCAGAACCAAGAAGCAGAGACAGGGATTGAATCTCTATGGGCACTTTATTCAGACGGCCAGTCATCTGAGAAGACAGTGGGTTATTTACCCTGACAAACAGTTTTACATTTCCTTTCAAGCCAGCCTTTTTTATAAGGAGGAAGAAGTGTAAGTAAGGGATTTGGAATTCAGGAAAGAGGTTAATCAAATAAAAGCTGCAGTCCAGCAATTTTTCTGACAACCTTTCATTTGTTGACATGATTTTCTACCTGTGTCCTGTGTCCTGGGCTGCAGGATTTCTCTACCTGAAATGAAGTGGCTCAGATACCATCTTGATTGTTTAATGATCTCTTTGGGAGCACAAAGGTCAAATTGCTTATGGTCTGGAGTCAGGGTAGCCAATACCTTCAGTTCCTGAAACAGTAGCTTTTCACATGCATTAACTACTAAGCTTATTAACTATTACCTAAAACTAAAGTTTCCCAACTCTTGAGTTCTCCCACCAGTTTTCAAAGCTCTCACAGTCCTGAGCTTTGGGTTAGGAGTGCACAAGAAATGTAGTCCACAAAAATCCCCTAAATCAATGGTCCATAGCACAATTTGAAAAACTATCTTTAATAACTAGTTAGAAGCAGATACTCAACACAAATATTTGATTTAAAATGTGATTTATGATGTTCCACAAAGTAAGGCGGGAAGGGTAGCCCAATGTGTCTGACTGATAACAGAGATACAATAAAATTTAGTTGAAAAGATTTGAAGGGAAGTAGCAAAGATGCAGACTTCCAGTCAAGGTGGCAGCTTGGGCAGACATGGCTCACCTCTATGCACGACATCAAAATTACAACTAAAATATAGAACAGCCAGCACTCAGAAAAGTCAGAAATAGAGTTGAATGGGAGTCTGACAACTACAGAATTAAAGAAACCACATCCATCCAGACTGTTAGGAGGGGCACAGGTACTGATCAGCTGGTCCCAAAATTCAGGAGGGATATCTTGGGAGTGAGGAGTCCCACACCCCACTAGCCCAGGTTTCCAATGCCAGGAAGATAAGTCCCCACAGCTTCTGTTTGCAAAAACCAGTGGGGATTAAGTTGGTGGAAGAAACTTCTGGAGCCCCAAGCAGTTTCTGTTAAAGAGCCCATACATGGGCTCACCTACTCAGAATCACTCCCTCTGAGATCCAGCACGGATAGCAGCTTGAAAGTAGCATTCAGAAAGGAAGTGAAGTGTCTGGCATCAAGAAGCAGAGGCCACTGTCCCTTTTCTGAACCTTCCCCCAACAGAGCCAGCAGGCGGGTGCCGTAGCTGAGATTCCATCATCTGGCTAACACTCTTTGCCCCACCCTAGAGATCCCCTGAGACTCCATCCCACCCAACGTACAGGCACATCTAAGCTATTAACAGTGATTTTTCCATATGAATGGCTAGTCTTGGCTCATGCTTCACAACTTCCTAAATCCTATCAAATGAGCAACAGTTGGCCTCAGTGAGCCCCCAGCCCCTGGACCTCTTACTGAGTGGCCACAGACCTGGCACTAGCAGCAGCCAGCCTAGATTCACAGCTTGGCTTCACCTGGCAATCTCCAAGCCCAGCACAAGTAGCAGCCACCTCAGATTGTTTTATTAGCTCAGGCAGGGTGGCCCTGGGGAAAATACAGGTAGGGGCTGACCTTGGCCTGTACCACCTGGGAAACCCCAGAGCCTGCACACCCAGTGAACAGCTGCAGACCACATCTGAGCACCACCACCCTGCCCCTGCACAGATGATCCTCCACAGAGGGCAGAGGTTGGTGGTCAGTGGTCACAGCCAGTCCTTGCAGCTTACTGGCCTGAGTAAATCCCTCCTATTGACCTGCCAACAGCAATCATGGCTCAACCACAAAAGGAGGTGTACTCAGCCCATATGAAGGGTGCACCTCATGTACCCAGCTTGGGTGATAGGGGAAGCTGTACCAATGGACCCTACAGGATACCTACTACGTTAGGCCATGCTACCAAGACAGGAAGTCATAGCAGCTCTACCTAATACATAGAAACAAACACAGGGAGGCTGCCAAAATGAGGAGACAAAGAAACATGGCCCAAATGAAAGGATAGATCAAAACTCCAGAAAAGGAACCAAACATAAATGGAAATAAACAATCTATCAGATGCAGAGGTCAAAACACTGATTAAAAGGATGCTCAAGGAATTTAGTGAGGACCTCAACAGCATAAAAAAGATCCAGTAAGAAACAACAGATACACTAATTGAAATAAAGAACAATTTACAGGGAAACAACAGTAGAGTGGATGAAGCTGAGAATCAAATCAATGATTTGGAACAGAAGGAAGCAAAAAATAACCAATCAGAACAATAAGAGAAAAGAAAGAAAACAAGGATAGTATAAGCAGCTTCTGGGACAACTTCAAGAGAGCCTACATTTACATCATAGGGGTGCCAGAAGGAGAAGAGAAAGAGCAAGAAATTGAAAGTCTATTTGAAAAAATAATGAAAGGAAGCCTCCCTAATTTGGTGAAGGAAATAGACTTGACAGTCCAGGTGGCACAGAGAGTCAAAAAATAGGATGAATTCAAAGATGCCCACTCCAAGACACATCATAATTAAAATGTCAAAAGTTAAAGAGAGAATCTTAAAAGCAGCAAGAGAAAGACAGTTAGTTACCTACAGGTGAGTTCCCCTGAGACTGTCAGCTGATTTCTCAAAAGAAACTTTGCGGGCTAGAAGGGACTGGCAAGAAATATTGAAAGTCATGAAAAGCAGGGACCTACAGCCAAGATTGTTCTACCCAACAAAGATACCATTTAGAATCAAAGGGCAGATAAAGAGCTTCCCAGACCAAAACAAACAAAAACTAAAGGAGTTCATCATCACCAAGCCATTATTACGTGAAGTATTAAAGGGTCTTATTTAAGAAAAAGAAGATCAAAACTATAAACAATAAAATTACAATAAATATAAATCTATCAACAATTGAATCTAAAACAACAAACTAAGCAAACAAGAAGAACAGAGATAGACTCATGGATACAGTGAGCTTTTGATGATTGCCAGATAGGAGGTGGGGTTGGGAAATGGGTGAAGAGGTGTGGGAATTAAGAAGTACAAATTGGTAGTTACAGAATAGCCATGGGGATGTAAGATACAATATAGGAGATCAAGTAGCCAAAGAACTTACATGCATGACCCATGGACATGAACAATGGTGGGGGTATTGCCTGAGGGAGCAGAGGGTGCTTCGTGAAGGGGGGCAAAGGGAGAAAAATCAGGACAACAGTAATAGCATAATCAATAAAATATAATTTTAAAAAAGAATTACAGGATGCACTGAAATCAGGAAGTGTGACCTAGAGCAAAGGAAACATAACTGCAGTAATCATAATCAGAACTTTCTGGAGGCAGCAACCCCAATGAACAAAAAATTTAAATTAACTGTAAGACCAATGGGCAAAACCTCAAAAGCAGCAGGCTCTGGCAGCAGTGGCTGCAGTACTGAAGGGATAGGAAGTAAAAGGTTGATTTTCTTCCCTACACCTAGCTGTATGTGGATGATGGCTGTCATTATCTTTGAATATACTATGTGGATAAGTAGAATTAAAACTAGAAGTGATCAGCTGTCAGAGGGGAGGGTGTAGGAGTACTGGGTGAATGAGGTGAGAGGATTAAGCAAAAAATGAAAAACCAAAACAACAATAAAGAAAAACAGGTGATTACCAGAAGTGCAAGGGGATAGGAGGAAGTAGGAGAAGGTAAAGGAGGGATAAATGGTGATGGAAGGAGACTTGGAGTGCTAAACACACAATGCAACATACAAATGATGTATTATAGAATTGTATCTCTGAAACATAATTTTATTAACCAATGTCACCCCAATAAATTTAATTTTTAAAAACTGGAAGTAATTTCAATGTTTTTTAATCATAATTATTACTTCCCTTGGGAACCATTTCCTATCATGTTTTGTTATCTTGAAACAACCACCATTTTCCAAATGGAATTATGTAAAGTGCTTTGCAACTCTGTTTAGTTTCCATTCTGAGCACTTAAACAGTATCTACACATAATGAAATTCCAAGTGTGCTTTTTTTTGTTTTTGTTTTTTTAAAACAGTAAATGGAAGTGAGCAAAGGAAGATAATAAGATAGGAACATAAGACAATCAGCAAATGAGAAAGAATTTGATTTAGATCGGGAGAACCAAGCAATGTTTCCCTGAGGAAATGACACTTGAACTAATACGCAGGAGTTGAGTGTTTTTGAGGTGATGGTGGTGAGCATTTTAGATGAGAGAAAAAAACTTAAAAGGTCTGTGGTGCCAGAAGTAGAGGTTGAAGCCGTTCTAGAAAGTAGGGGATAAAATCCATCCAGATAGTGCATGTAGAACTGGCAGAGCTTTGGAATGGATCTTACGTGAAACTAGAGGAATACTAAGAAATGTTAAGTATGTGTTTGGGTTACCAGAAAAGCAAGCCCCCCCGGACATGAGTAAAATCGAACTTTGATGAACTAACTAGAATCTTGCAATAAAAGTATTTAAATAAAGATGGAATAGACTGAGCTTATGTTTTGTGTCATTTATAAACTCGTATTTTGTACTACACAGGTGGAGAAATGGATCACCTAAACCGAATTTCAGGGTTTAGGACTTTTTAGGGATAATTTTAATCAAGCCCTCTTTCTTCATTTTTACAGTAATAGGTCAGGTCCAAAATGTGATTCGTTTTAGGTGCCCCAGGTGGTTATTTACAGATCCAGACCTAAAATTCGTAATTCCCTTTTAAGAATAAAATTACTTCTAGAAAAATAAATCCAAAGTTATTATACCAGGGCTCTAGATAAGACCTGGTGAGAAGCTATTTGAGAACTATAAATGCCTGGTGATAAAAAGTATCCTGTAAGTTGCAAACTAACGCCCTGACATTACCATGGTTACTATAAAGCCTAATGCGCTAGACCCCGTTCCTGCTGGAAAAGTCCCGCCCCACAGTACAAAGGCCAATGGTGTGCCTGGTAACGATGGCGTCTGCAAGCCCCTGAGCCAATGGGACGCGTCGTTTCTATGGTTCCCGCCGGAAGAACGCCTTGGCGTCTCTGCGACTCGAGTGGTTGCTATGACTCCCTGGGCTCTATAGGCACCTGCAGCTTGCCGTGGAGCGGCGTAGGAGCAAAGCGACCTGGGACCCTCACCGTACTTTTTAGAAGACGATTTGTGGCCTGCTTCCTGCGGTACCCGTCTCAGCTCCTAGGAGGAAAGCGTCTCTTCTCCGCGCTTTTTTCGCCATTCCAGGCCTTTACCGCTTCTCTCCCCAGAATGGCTCGAAACTACGGGGGAAAGCTTCTGCCCTAGCGCGGCCTTTCTAGCCACGGGCTGGAGTGATTCTGCCAGAAGGATTCGCCCGTTTCTGGGACCCAGAGCCACAGGCATTTCGAACTAGGCTGCAGCTCTTATTTAGACAGGGCTTAGAACACTCCCAGTTAGGCGTTTGCTTTGTTTTGTTTTGTTTTGTTTTGTCCTCATTTTACTGACGAAGACTCACCCTTGCACAAACGACTGGGTCTGAAGCCCCCGGCCATTAACCAAGTCACGGAGCCACGGCTTTCCCCGGCTGTGAACAAAGAACTGCCGTTTTCTGCTTTGTTGCCCTGTGTTCGTCATGCAGAACCTCACGTAATTCCCGTTGAAGTTTGGAGGCCTTTTGAAGTCTCAGCATCAGACGTCATCAAGTCAGTTAACCTTCTGCCTTCCACTTTCATCACCCTGAGCGCCAGTTTCCTCATCCTGCTTCTTCCACAACCATTTTCACACTTTCTTATCCACGCTGCACCTTAATGTCCATTCGCCTCCGCCACCTCTCTCATCTACAGACCCCCCTTCCCCACCCCCCATTTTTCTGCTACAGTGCTTTGGGTTGCTAAGTATTTCACATTCTCCAGCCCCAGAATCGTTTGAAATATTTTTCTATGTTTCTCTGCACTATGGCAAGTTTTCTCTCTTAGGGGAAATACAGGCTAGAATGGGAAAGTGCACATTGGTCAATACAAGCCTAAATTACTATAAGGGGCCTAGTGTGTTTTGGAAACGAAGGGGGGGGGGATCAAAGTGAAGTTTGGATCCATCTCAGGCTTATATAAAGACATACTGTTCCTTGCTTAAGTGAATGCTTCTTTAGGCATACATTTTAGTGATGTATTCGTGTATGAAAAGATCATTCAAAATGATCATGTAACAAACAGGATTCCAACCCTAAGCGCATTTGAAGCCAGCACCTTGATGTGATAGAATTTTTGGAAAGAATATGCTCGAAACAGTTCTTGTGCTTTTTCTTCATGTGAGTTTCTTGATCAGAAAACATGCTTTGTGATGTGAACCAAGAAGCAAAAACCAATGAGGGGTGATTGAAAACAAGTATTTGTGGCAAGAGGGCAGACAAATGTAATCCTAGAAAGACTGGAACAGAGGGCCTTAAAAATAGAATAAGATTTATTTATATCTAACCCAGTTTTACTTTATCTTGGAAAACTTTATTTGTTTTAAAGTATGTGTTCCTTATCTAATCTTTCTACTTCATTGGTATTCAGGTTAAAATGTAAACCTATTGGGAAGATAGACAAAGTGTACATTTTTAGCAAGTATTTTGGGGCTACGATGGTATGGATATTTTTATTTCTCAGGTCAATTATAGCAGTTATATGTGATATTTCATGCTTGATGCCAGGTCAGATTTCTAAATACTGCAAAATTCCGCTTTCTCTTGGATAGTAGATTGGAAAAGAAAAATAAGTTGTGAAGCTTTTTCAGGGTTTGTTGTTTTTTGGTTTTTTGTTGTTTTGTTTTGCTTTAAATGGGAACTGGATAAATTTTAACTCTTGAAAAAAGGGGCTGTTAGATGCTATATATATTTTTTTTAACTTGCCCAAAGTCATTCAACTGGCATGTTAGAGACTATATTGTAAGGAGCTTTCCTTTCCTCTCCCTATATGTATATACTGAACAAACATCGTTATGGCCATGTTAACACCTGGCCAGGGCACGTGTGTACATTTGGGTTTTTTTTTAAGAGAAAAGAAGGAAGGGATGGAGAAAGAGAGGGAGAGAAACATCGGTGCGAGAGAGAAATATTGATCGGTTGCTTCTCATACATGCCCTGATGGGGGACCGAAACTGCAACCCAGGCATGTGCCCTGACTGAGAATCAAACCCATGACCTTATGCTTTGCTGGAAGACACCCAACCAACTGAGCCACACCTGTCAGGACTCGTGTGTACATTTTTACATAGTTATAAATAGTACATTATGCCTTTCTTTGTCACTTAATTTTATATTTTAAGCATTTAAACATTGATATATTGTTTTTAACTTTTAAAAATTACTTTTCTCATTTGAGGAATAAAAAGGAAGAAACTATTATGTATTTAAAATGTAAGTTTTAAATTATATTTATATATATTATTTATTTATATAAATAAATAATAATTTATATAAATATTTATATATTTAAATTATATTAAGAAAAAAGAAAGAAAAAAGAAGGGTTAGGGTGAATAACTTGACTGAGTATTTCAGGGCTTTTTAAAGAAAGATTTGATTGATTGATTGTTAAAGGAGGGGGAGGGAGGGAGAAAGAGAGGGAGACAAACATCATTGTGTGAGAGAAACATTGATCGACCGGCTGCCTCTTGCATGCCCCAGCTGGGGACCTGGCCCACAACCCAGGCACATTCCCTAAACAGGAATTGAACTGGTGACATTTTGGTTTGTGGAACAATGCCCAGACCACTGAGTCAGACCAGTCAGGGCAATGTATTTAAGCTTTTGTGGCCATGCTGTTTACTTTGTTCTCTAGTGTCACTCAAAGACCATTGGATCCAAACCTCATGCTTTGCTCAAAGCTAGGTGATGTGCTGTAGCACGAGGTGTGGTCCTGGCCCCTGGAAGACACCTGCTATACAGGAAAAATAAGAACAAGTAGGAATAACTCTTCCTGATTCTCCTTGACCTCTTCTCACTTAAAATTCTTTGTGTCTTTCTCAGTTTGCCTGGACAGCTTTACCACCTTATTCTTCACATCTGGAAGTTTCTGAAGGCACCAAAACATTATGGGATGTGCTTCTTTCCAAAGAGTGGACTTCTAATATATTTAAAGAGCATTTTATTCATTATCTACTTTATAGAGAATAATATGTTTGCATACTTTTTGTGGGCAATTTAGGCACAGTTTAAATTTCAGAGCATTTATAATTCAAAGACTAGAAATATATGACCTCAAGATATGATTTTTTAGAATTTTCAATTTACTCAACCATTAGGTCTCAATAAATATTAGTTCTGGGATGTCATAGCAGAACAGGCAGTGGGACTCAAATATTCAAAGTCATGGAAATATAGGCAGTGTTATGGGGATCAATATGTATACTGTATGAAGAGTTCATTTCAAGGTGTGGCAGAAGATAAGACTAGAGAGACAGGCAGGAACAGATTTTGAAGACTCTCTGGTGCCAGGCTAAGGGGTATGAACTCTTCCTGAAAGCAATGGGAATGTTAAACAGCAAGTGATTTGCATTCAGAAAGATCGGTCTGAGAGCTCTGTGGAATACAGACTGGATGGGTACCAGCCTGGCAGCAGGGAAATCAGTTAAGGATGCTATTGCACTAAACTGGGCAAATAGTAAGGAAAGCCTGAATTAAGACAGCAACTGCAGACATGAGAGGAGGAATTAGAAAATGATAAAGAGGTAGAATCTACAAATTCAGAGGTGGTGCATCAGAGTGATATAAATAAGGAGGGATCAAGGATGACTCCCAGTTTTCTGGCTTGGAAAACCATATATATATTAGACAGAAAGAGAGAGAACTATCAATTTGTTGTTCCCCTTATTTATGCATTCATTGGTTGATTCTTGTATGTGCCCTTACCAGGGATTGAACCTGCAACCTTGGAGTATTGGGACGATGTTCTAACCAACTGAGCTACAGGGACAGGGCCTTGGGAAACTGTATATATTTTCAAAGATTTTATTTATTTATTTTTAGAGAGAGGGAAAGGGAAGGAGAAAGACAGGGAGAGAAACATCAATGTGTGGGAGACACATGGATCAGTTGCCTGTTGCACGCCCCCAGCTGGGGACCAGGCCTGCAACTCAGGCATGTGCTCTGACCTGGAACTGAACCGGCAGCATTTCAGTTTTCAGGCCAGCACTCAATCTACTGAGCAACACCGCCCTGGCAAGAAACTATAGTAATGGTTATTTTATTAACTGTGGAATACGGATACAGGAACAGGTGTAAGAGAGGAGCAGATTGTTCAAACTGAGCTGTTCACAGGACAATGGATATACATTGGACTTAAACAATAGACTCATTTTATATTGCATTTCTAGCCTACACCCTCTTTCTGGAATGTGTACCTCTCCACAAATCCTTGCTTTGGTGGCTGTATTTGTACTACTACTACTTCTAATCCACTCCAGCCACAATTGATTGAATGGGGATTATACAACTAACTTCAGAGAGGGGGGCACAATTCACTGGGTGAGCAACAAATAATTGTCTCCTTTTCACAAATTTGAACTAAAAGAATGGAAATGACTTAATCTGAAAAGTAGCATACATTTAGGATCTGAATGTCTGTTTGCACTACTGCTGATGAGCAAGCAGAGGAAGTCCAGCCATGTAGAGAAGCAATTTAATATGGGCTGATTCACAGAGAAACCCAGAGATGATGCCCTCACAGGTCAAGGTGGACTAGTAATGGCTGTCCAGTTCCATGTCCAGTTCCAATACAGCCATGTTTAGTTTGCAGCATGTGCCCTTGTATCTTATTCTTTTAGTACCCTCCTTTAGTAGTTGGGATTGATTGGCTGTGAGATTCAGAAAGCTCAAAGTAATAATGCTTTTGAAAAGGTAGAAATTTATTTCTCTCACATAAAAAGTCAAGAAGAAAGCAGTCCAGAACTGATAGGGCAGCATCTTGAAATAGTCAGAGACTCAGATTTCTTCTCTCATGATAATATATCATCCTAATGGCTGACATCACAGGGCATGTGGCTTCTACCTCATGGTGTCCAGGATGGCCGCTCAGACTTAGCTAATTTGTCTGCAATTCAGCCAGTAGAAAGGAGGAAAGAGTGAGAAAGAGGGCGTTCTGATCCTTTAAGTATACTTCCTAGAGGTGTCACACAATTCCATTTACATCTGATAGCTCAGAACTTAGTTACAAGGCTTTATCTAACATTAAGGTAGGCAGCTGTGTGACTGGTCAAAAAATTAGATGTCTTACTTCTGTGGAAAAGGGGGTGAATTCTACACTTATGAAGTGGTTAAAATGGTAAATTTTAGGTTTCATTTATTTAACACACACACACACACACACACACACGAAAGAGCAGGAAGTACAGAAGGTGGTGGACAAAGTGGGACGTTTGCAGTTTAGGAGTGCAGGATTTCAACAGTGGTTCAGATTATGACAAGGGCTCAGATGTAGCTATGGGGACAGGTGACTAAGCAGAATGGAGACTAAAGATCACTGACTTTGGGAGTGTGCACTAGTCTAGGAGCTTGGATACATCATACACTTGGATGTTGATCTGCAGCCTACACTGTCCTCCTGACCCACAAGCCCCCTCTTTTTACATTCCTGCTCACCTCCAATACCTTCAGATCTCCCAGAAGCCAGGGATCCAAAGGTATTCTTAATATCCCCAGCGCCCTTTTCCTTTCAGCTTCCTCTAAGACCGTCCTACTTCCCTCTATAATATGGAGGGAGGAATTATGCAGCTCTCTGGGGGCAAGCAACCCACAGTACAAGGCTTTAATAATTCTAGCAACTCACAATCTCATCTGTTTCTCACAACTTGTATTAACACTTTCACATGTTTGCTTCCAGTCTTTGTGTGTCAGGTTTTCAAATACTTGTAATTCTTTAACATTCTTATCATTATAATATGAGCATTTTTCCATATTAGCAAATAGGCCTCATAGGATACTATATACTCCTGGTATCTTTGGCAATATGATACCCAGGACTCAAACCACAAGTAACTGAATAGTGCTCAGAGACCTTGGAGGGAGGAGGGGGATATACGCGGGGACTGGAGGATGGGGGTGGGATAGGGAAAAGCATGAGAAGATTTTTAGCTGTAAGTCATGGGGAAGACACAGAGGTACGAAGATTCGGATATGGCTCCGTTTTTCTTTCAGTGTGAAAATCAGATGATAATTAAAATTCTATATGTTTTCCACAAAATTGTTGATGGAAATCATAGAAAATAATGACTCTGGAAGACTTAGAAAGAAAGAAGAAAAATAATAAAGATCTATTTTTGCTGTTAAAAAAGCAAAACAATATATTGGGTTGGCCAGAAAGCTTGTTTGTTTCTTTGTAAGATGGATCTACTTGTGCTTAAGTGTCTTTAACTTTGTTTGAAACAATTTTGTTGGATTGTATTATAACAGCTGTCATATCAGCATGCATTAAAAAACAAAACAAAATCAGTGAATTTTTGTGTAGCCATTTTAATATTGAAGATGGAATGAGCAACATTTTTGGCATATTATGCTTTATTATTTCAAGAAAGATAAAAATGCAATTGAAATGTAAAACAAGATTTGCACAGTGTATGGAGAAGGTGCGTGACTGATTGAATGTGTCAAAGGTGGTTTGCAAAGTTTCGTGCTGAAGATTTTTCACTGGACAATACTCCACGGTCAAGTAGACCCACTGAAGTTGATGGTGATCAAATCGAGACATTAACTGAGAAGAGTCAACATTATACCATGCAGGAGATAGATGACATACTCAAAATATCCAAATCACTAAAGTTATTGGTGAAAATAAAAAATGTCTTTTATTGTACAGAAAAAACTAAACAGGCCTTGGCCAACCCAATAATTATGTGGACTGGTTGCACTATAATAATAATTACACTTATCACTACAATTAAGGTAAATCAACTTGGTTAGCAGTTGTGTTTGAGTATAACAGCAAGTCTTAATGCATAATGGTCCTAGTAATGCAATATCACTTCTCAGTCTCATGCTCAATCAGTGGATACTCATCTTTTACCCACTGTGTAGTAGCATGACTACTTTCAACTTAAAAAATTTAAAGACAATATTGATGGCAGGCTTAGTGTTAGGAGTTTTAGAAGTAAGCTGCATGACTTAAAAGTCATTCAAGAATGGTAAGACCTATTCTGCAAGCTAAATAGTTCATTGATAGTATAGAATTAGTGGGCTCTGTGGCTTCCGGAGGAGTCCTTTTATTTCCAAATATTCACTAGAGGGAACAAAGGCTTTGGAATTGATAACATTGCAAGGGGCCTTTGGGAGATTTGCAGATTAATAAATGGCAAACCTCAGAACTGGGCAGTCAGAAAAGCTTGTATTTTTAAAAACACTCTCATACATTTGCATTCTATGTGTCATGTCATTTTTTTATTTTAGAAGATACACAGCTGTTCAAGGCTTTGATTTTCTTGTGTGTTGTTAGCTCTTTCATGTAAGTGCTCTTTACAACTGGATAACACAACAGTTATGCATACAAGGGTGGGCAAAAGTGGTTTATAGTTGTGTGTACATGAAGCACAGAATTCTTCTCTATTTATTAAATATCATATTATTTGTTATTATTAACCTACCTTTGCCCAACCCTGTTTATACATATCAGAGCATGCCCAGCTCATATAGTGTGTGTACATACACACATGCCTCTCTCTTCTATCAAGGGAGAAGTTCAGTTAGAGGGTGTCCTTCACCATCCCGAGAAAGAATTGAAAGCTACTACAGAAGAGCAACTCTGTTTTGTCTGGCACCCGGTTCTAGGACAGTGAGACGTGCTGAGGACTGCTTCCAGAAATCCTGAAGAACTTTCAGTGAAACGCATGGAAGACATGAAAGAAGTAAGAGCTAATAACATAAAGCTTTAAGATACCTGTGGTTTTGTTCATTGTCCATTAAATTAACACATTAAAAACCAACATTTGAATATCACCGTAGAGTTTGTTTGCAAAGCACTCACATGTATGTTTTTTTCATGAAATACAGGGTCCAGCAGAAGTAACGCCTGCTTGAGTGTGGTTGGTAGGGTAATAATATGGGTGTAATACTTTATAGTTTTAACTTAAACATTTCACCTAAAATGTCATATGGTGTGCTTGAGTGTGATATTGTTATGGTACAGAATTACATGCTTATGATTTTCTAATAAAACATTTTATAATAAAAAGGGGTGCTATTTGTGTCGGACCCTGTATATCACCAGTCGGTATTGATTTCTAATGGAAGACATGTGCAGGATGACTGGTCGAACATCCAGATAGATCTGTTCATAGTAGCTTTCATTTTCTTGGCAAATTCCTCCTTGTCTCAGTAACTGATCCTCTAGCCAACTCTCTTGCTTGTTGGTTTAGAAACCTCAGTGGATCTGCTTCTCAAAGGTACTCTTGTATTAACTCACAGAGAAGGTTTTAGAGAAATAGACACCAGCTTATTAACTGACAGAAATATAATAGCCAGAGGAACCAGTCACATATGTCCCGCCTGATGCATTCGCTCCTCCGGGCACACTAGGTAGGATAGGAAGCCACACTTTAATTATATATTTACTTGTTGAACAAATGATTCTAAAATTTTATCACACTAACCAGGGCTATCTATATCTGCCCTTGTTTCTAGACCCGTTATATCCTAGGACCAGGGTACCCAGCCCTTAGATGAGTAAGTAATGGCATCTTTTGGCTCTTACCACTCTCCGATGTTTACAGTGCTGATCAACCTACTCTCTGACAGTCTCTTTAAATGAGTTAATTCTCTCAGGTTGCTTAGGAATCATCACTCTGCCCTGTTTCCACATCTCAGTTCAGATGGGTTACATGTTGATTTTAAAATTTAACTCTTCAAGGACAGTCTTATTTCCAAAGTCTTAAAGAGGAATACAGCTCCTTCAGAACAAAAGCTGTAGAGCACATTAGACGATGAACTTTAACATGAGGCAGATGGTGGCGAAAAATTACCTTTAGAACTGTCTATATAACTTGGGCAAGTAACTTGATTTTTTTGAGCTTGAAAATGATAATAGTGTGTTCAAGTAACTTGATTTTTTTGAGCTTGAAAATGATAATAATGTGTTCAAAGGTATTTCTGAGGTGTTTCACACAGGGAATATGAATAAACCTTTCACATTCCTACTTGGCACCTAACAAGTATTTTGTAAACTGTAGCTATTATTATTAGAAATAGGTATTATTCTTCCTGCCATTTTAAAGAGGAGGAAACTGAAGCTTACCAGGAAGTTACAAAGCTAGACTGTAATCCTCTTTTCCTTCTATAACATTCAGCTTTTCTTATTTTCAATCATCCACACCCGAGGACATGCTTATTGATTTTAGAGGGAGAGGGAAGGAAGGAGAGAGGAGGAGAGAAACATTGATGCAGGAAAAACATCAATCAGTTGCTTTTCAGATATGCCCTGACCAGGGACCAAACCCTAACCTAGGTATGTGCCCTGACCGGAATCAAACCCACAACCTTTCAGTTTCCGGCTGACCCTCCGACCAGATGAGCCATACTTCCCAGACCTAACATTCAGCTTTTTATTCATATTCTGAGGAGTTGTCCAATAGGATTCAAAACAATTCAGCAAGATACAATTCAGTTATTTTAGTGGTCTACCTCTAAGCCTTCTGGCCCACCTGAGCGTGCAGTTCAGCTCTTCCCCGTATTCCTTGTGTGACAAGACAGTAACTTAGCCTCTCTCAGCCTGCTTCCTCGTGTATAAAGTGGGGGCATTACAGTCCCATAGGACTGTGGTGAAAATTAAGTATGGGGGGGCCAAAAGTAGGTTTACAGTTGTTGGTATAAAAATAATATGACCATTAACAAATAATAACACAAGAATAAACTCTGTTTCACGTACTCACAACTGTAAACCTACATTTGCCCCATCTGGAATTCGATGTCCTTAACACAGTAGTGCCTGGAGCATACATTAGCTTTCAATCTGTCATTATGAGCCATACAAAAGTACCTTTTGTGAAGCTGCCATATTAACCATATTAACTATTTTTAAAGAATACCCAACGATTTATTTCAATAGACTCTCCTATTAACATTCAGACATGTTACTCAGTTTTAGCATAAGAGTGTAAATGTAATTATTGTGTAGGTTTTTCACTGTTCATGGATATCATGACCATGTTTTCTAAACCATAGATGAGATTTGCTTTGAAACCTGATATATTCGTGGTAAAAATATTACAGATAGTGACTATCTCATAAAATTTGTGGTTACATGTCAGCATATCTATGGGAAATGGTGTCTGATAACCTAATATCATGTTTAGGGAGAGAGACCCGCACTTACAGAGAGCGGAGTTTTCCGTTTATTTCTCAGATTGTAGACCCATTAGTATGGTGATCTCTTAATGGCTCTTTCATTTAATAGACTTTTAATATGGGTTAAAATATGAACCATGGACAAAAGTAAGGAAATGTATTGTTTTCTTTTTAGGTGGGAAATTATGCAAACCATGTCTGTAATTTGCCAGAGGGAAGAGAATCACTTTCTCACGGTTATGAAAACAAAAACAAACATCTCAGACATGAGTTCAGAGAGCTCCAACTCAAACAGGGTAATTTTTCTTTTTGTAAAAATGCAATTTTAATTGTAAAAATTAATATGTGACAATTAGAAAATTTGAGAAATGTATAAAAGTGGAAGGAAGGGGAAAAATACTAATGCCCTCCACACTACAAAAGTACATGTAATGTTTAAGATGTATTTTCTGCCTACCTTTTTAAAGTATGTAATCTGAAATACTCTGAAATGTGTGTGAGGGAGTGCAGAATGATTATTTCCCTCAGCGCCTGCTGCAGCCCTACCACATTGTGTCGTCATCACCTGTGTCACTCCCCTGGGGAGGAGACCATGTCCTAGTCTTAGTGCAGCTTCTGTGTTCCCCACAGCACCTGCCTTATCAAGTACCTAGCATAGCAAGGATTTGGGGGATATTTATTAAGCACTTTAAAGCAATAAGGGAGGATACAGATAGGACCCTTTATGTTATTACTCTACTTTGTTTAGCTCCCCAAATTAGTATTATTGTATGTGATCAATGATTATATTTACCACGTATTTCTTACTTCTTTGCTCAGTATTTTTCCTTGCATCTCAGATATTTCACTTGGGATCATTTTCCTTTTTTTCCCTTTAGAACTTTATTTATGAGGTTTGATGATGGGCAAATTTTTTCTTTATTGTGACTCTCAGGTACAGAGAAGGTTGAGTTAATCCTAGGACATTTTTCCATGCTCTTGTTTCTTTTTTTTCTCCCCCTTGTTTTCCATTGGGTATATTGAATTTTCTCCTGCTGTTTAAAAGCTTGCATTCTATTTTAGTTCAAATAATGGTTGCATTTGAAGAGTTTTCTTTAATTTCTTTCAGCATTATTTCTATTATTGTTGTTGTTGTTACTTTGACTGTTCACAGCACAGGCTTTATTTGGTGACCATTGAAAAGTGGGAGTTTAAACTCTCAGATCTACTTCTCCTCTCCCAGCATTTTTAGTTACTCTCAGCAGGAGAGTTGTTCCGGGGTCATTGCCAGAAACAGGAGATACTGTGTGTCTTGCTGCCAGCATAAATTAGCTCACAAAAAACTGGTAAATAGGGAAATGATCTCATTATAATGTGGAAGTTTATATACAATTTTCCCTAGCATTTAATGATTTGGGCTACCAGCAAGCCTTGAAATTTCTTCATAAATCCCATTCATCCTCCATTCTCTGGGGCTCAGTTTGGCCACGTGTTTTTGTCTTGGAAGTGCTCATTGCAAAGATATCCCTGATCTTTGTGCATTCTGACTTTGTTTCCATAACTCTGCAGACTCAACTCCCTAAAGCAAGCTTGATTATTTAAAAAAAAAAAAACACACCACATTTTCATACTTACTATAGTATTCCTTTACTTTTTAGGAATTTGACATATCTCTTTAAATCTACCACTATAATTATTATGATTGTTAATGTCTTTTATAGCACTCTAGTTACCCAGTGACAAAGGTTGTAAGTGGTCTATAGAATGTTTTTCAATAAGCTCTATATTTTTAGTGAACAGTTTTATGAAATAAAAGTTGTTTTTCTTTTTAGGGATATATGTCAATCACATCAGAAATGCTTATATAAAGGATTATGTTTTGAAGGCAAAGATAATATGATTTGATAATGCATTTAATGTCGGGTGGGAGAAAAGCAGAGAAATCACTGGTGACCTAAAGCTTTTTGGTTTGAGCAGTTAGAATAGTGGAGTTCCTAACTGTTCAGATGGAGAGAATATGGGAGGTGCCATTTGGGGGAGACAGTTTGCTTTTGGACATGTAAATTTTGAGGTCTATATTATACATCCAAGCAGAAGTGACAAGTAGGCAATTATGTGTGTATTGGCAATTCAGTGTAATTGAGACGTACATTTGGGAGTCATCCACACATAGCTAATACTTAAAGCCTTGAGATTATAGGAAATAATCTAGGGAGCGAAAAGAAGAAAAGAAGATTCAGGGCTGGCTTATTCTAGTGTTTAGAGGTTAGAAAGATGAGAAATCAGCCAAGGGGCTCAAGAAAGAGTCACACTCAAAATAGGAGGAAAACCAGCAGAGTGTGGTGTCTCAGAAGAGAAATGACAAAAGTGTTTTAAGAAAAGGATGTGAACAACTGGGTCAAATGCCACTAGTATGCTAGGTGGAATGAGGACACATATGGACTACTGGATCTGGCCACGTGGAGGTCATTAGTACTTTGATGAGCGCTGTGTCTGTGGGGTAGTAGATATGAAAGCCTGATTGGAGTGGTAGGAGTAGAAGAGGGGACATGGGTACGATCAATTCTTTCTTGAAGTTGTGCTGTAAAGAAGAATGAAGAAATGGTACAGAAGCTAGATGGGGCGATGAGGTTGAAGGAAGGTTTTTGTTTAATTGTTTTTGTTGTTTTTAATGGGGTATATAGTATGTCTCTAAGATGATTATAATGCTCAGCTGGGAAGAAAGCTTGATGAGAGATAGAGAGAGGAGTCAATTGGAAGAGCATTATCTTTGAGATAAGAGGGAATGAGATCCAGTGCACATGGGGAGGGGCTAGCCTTAGTAGCAAGGATATGTACATTAAATCTCACAATAGGGAAAAGTATGTAGGAGTTGGAAGATTTGGTAAGAGGAGTTTGTGGATGTTCTCTACAGAGTGCTTCTCTTTTTCTCTGTGAAATAAGAGGCAGTGCATTCAACAGAGAGTGAGGCTGAGAAAGGTTTGGAGATTTGAGTAGAGAAAGGAATGAAATAATGGTCTAGGTCTCTAGAGAATGACAGGGAGATGACCAGAGAAATGCAGGAGGATTGCTAGGCAGAAGTAGGAGCTTGCCTGAGATCAGAAGACATGAATTTAACATAAAATCAATCAGCACTGGCTGTGCAGTTTCATCCAGCCACATTCAGATTCTGCAGTAAGATGCAAAAGAGTTGGAGAATTGGATTTAAACAGACTGGAGTTTTGCAAACCAAATATAATGGAAGGAAACAGGGGCAAGGGAGTTATGAGTGTTTTCAAGGGAGTGATTATAATGACGCACTATAGAATCTAAGCTGGGTAAGAAACTAAATGAGAACGGGAGTAGGGTAAGGAACTTTGGGAAGTGTTTAAAGTCAATGGATTGTAGTTTTTAGTATGTTTGAAAACTTGTTGAAATCATGCTACTAGAAATACACAAGAAGGAATAATTGGAGAATAGGATGCTTGCAGTTGAGACTAGGGAGAGGCTACAGTTATTACTAATGACAACACCTAGGGAATGACTATGGAGTAGGTAGCCAAAATAGGGTAGTGGACTAGATCTTTAGAAGTTAGCTGGTGAAAGGACAGGCAAGGCAGGGTACTAGAATATTGCAATCACCAAGAATTTGGCAGGAGTAGTTGAGTCACCTTGGGCAAGTTATTTGGTTTCTTGGTGTCTGAGTCCTCCTCTCATAAAAGGATAATTCCTGTATCGTTGGGTCATGGTAAGGATTAGATAAGATAAATTTATCTCAGATACTTAGTATAATACCTGCCATATAGTAAGCACTCAATAAACAAATTTTAAAGTTATACAAGAACACATTTTAAATTTCTACAAGAAGCAAGAACTTCTACTGCTTTTGAGAAGTTTCCCCACTACTTTTTTTGTTATAATTTTGAAAGTTTGCAAACACCCCAAAGAGATGTGGAGAAGCGTAGTAGTATTATTATAGTTTATTTTAAAAATTAATTTATTATCTAATTAAGAATTCATTTAACATCTTATAGTTATTTAACTGTATTTCTTTTCAGTTTGTTTCTGTTATTTCTTCCTAACAGAAGCACAAATAAAGGAGGTTGAAGAAATGTTGTATCAAGAAGGCTCCGAAATAGCTCTGAGTAGCCCCAGTGAACAGATTACATACTTACGGGTAGAGAGAAGTAAACTCTTGAGTACACTGGCACTTGCGGACTCAAAGCCAGAGCCACAGAGATATCTGAGCAGTAACCTACAGAAAGAATTTCCCCAGGTATTCCAAAATTAACAAGATAATTGAATAAGAGGCAGTCAATTTTAAAATGCATTTGTTCACTTAATCATTTATTCATCAAAACATCAGAAGGCCAGTCCTAACAGTAAGTAAGAATACAGGCTTTAGGTTGGATGGTCTTCCTTTGTCCTTGAGGAAGTTAGTTAACTTTTATGAGCCTTGATTTTCTCATCTATAAAATCTGGGATCAACTTAACTACTCTATGAGATGATCATGAAGATGAAATAACTTAATGTATATAAAGCTCTAGAGTAGTACCTCACACATTAATGAACATTACTGTTATTATTTATTGAGAACTTACCATGTTCCTGCTTTGTGCTAGTGGATGTAGAAACAAAGTGAAATTAGACATGTAGACATGATCTGGACTGCAAGGAACAAGCTAGTGAGGGAAGGAATAAACCAGCCATTGTAGTTCAGTGTGGAAAGTACTATGAGAAAGGAAGGCACAGAAAGCTAGGAAAACCTGAATCTAGGAGAAAGATGGCAGTGTACTAGGAGGATCTTTCTCATACCACCAAACTGGAACTAAAAATGAAGAGGGGGACATCCACCTGAAATAAACAACTGAAGACTACCTAAAGAGGAGACCCTTAACCAAGAACAGGCAGAAACCACCTCGAGACCAGTAGGAAGGGCAGGGATGCAAAAGGGTTGGCACCACTTTTACAGTGCAGCAGTGGGAGCTTCCCCCTGAAAGGAGTAAAGCCTGGACCGCAGTCCAAGCTCCCCAGCACTGAGCACCAGTGTCAGGATGAGCTGCCCACATAGCATCCAGCAGTGAAAGGCTGCAGGGTTTTTTCCAGGGAGAGACACAACTCGCTGGAGACAGAGACACTATTATTTTTTTCCTAAGGGGGCCAAAGCACAGGTTTCTCATTCTCAGCCACTCACCTTGGGCTTGGGTGAAGGGTGAGCAGTGTGGACCAGCGTCATCTGAGGAGACTCAGTAGTGGGAGGTTTTGGGGAGAGACGTGGGGAAATAGCTTTTGGGTTCCCTATGCTGGGACATACCTTGAAAAATGACTGCAGCAGCCATTTTGCTTAGAAGAATAAGACCCTCCTAGTGGAAAAACAATCACCCCACCCTGTGGGTCACTTCTCAGCCCACTGTCTGTAATCCTGTTTACTGCACCCTGGATCTTTGTTTTCTTACTTTTCCCCTAGCCTGCATCTTAACTCCTGCTGAGGAGACAGCAACATAGGCAGACTTGGGGTGTCAGAGATTGGCTCTAGGACACAGCCATTTCATACACTTCCCTAGGAACCAAACTGGTGCTTCCCCATCATGGGAGAGCCATAGAAACACCCTCCTAGTTTTTGGCAAACCTAAACACTGGGTGCTGGAACCACCCCCCCACCCCCCCACCCCTTTCCTACTATGGGCTCTGCCTCACTGAGTTCGGGGAAATAGTCTGGGACAGATTCAGACATGTGGTGTGGGGATAGGAGAACACATCCACCACCTTCCCTGAAGTATGAACAGCACCTCCCTCAGGAGATCCAAGGGTCGCATCACATCCTCCTGATTCCACCAGAAGCCCTCTCAGAAACAGGTCAGTGGCTAGACTAAGAATGACAGCAGGTGGAGACACGTGGACGTAGATCCTGCAGTGCCTTTGGCCATCAGCTGACCCACATCAGCTGGGCCCTGTGCTGATAAAAACCAGCCTCCAGTACATCATGGCCCATCCCGGGTACAGCCAGGCCCGGAGGAGACAGCCACAAACAGTGGATTGCTTGTAACTTTGAACAGGCTGCTGAGGGCTAGATGTGGACAGCATCTGACATTGGCTTACACCAGCTTCAGAAAACATCAGAGCTGTATCCAAAGGGAGAACCCAGCAAGCAATCACTAAACTTTGCTGAGATGAATCCCACTTTGTTCTTTTACATTATTTTTTGTTATCTTTTCAACCTTTTTATAATTTTTCTGCTTCTTCAATTTTTAAATATTTTTCTTTCATATCTCTTATTTTATTCTTCTTTACTCCATTTTTCCTTCTTGCTTTTTCTTATTTTTTATTCTTTCCCTTTCTTTGTTCTTTTTTGGCTATTTCCTCTTTCTATTCCTTATTCTTATTGTTTCTCTTCCTTCTCTACCCTTATAATCATTTTTTTCTTTGGTCTTCTCATTCCTTTTTTTCTTTTACTATTCTATTTCTCTTTCCATTTTTATTATTCTTTGCTCTATTGTTGATTTTGCTGTTATTGTTGGAGACTTTTTTTGCTTATTTTGGTTTTGGTTTTTATGTTGTTTTGTTTTGATCTGTCAGGACCTGTACAACAGCATACAAGATGTGGTGGGGGTTGAGCCTGGTGGTCAGCCAGCCAGAGGGGAGACCAACAAACAGGCCAAAACAATCAAGACCCAAATATAAGAGGAGAGCCCACATAACTCACACAAGGACCATTCCTAGAGCATCCAGCTCAGGAGATCAAGGAGACTGCACCACTGGGTCCCATAGGACTCCTACCTTGTAAGGCCACTCCATGAAGACAGGGAGTCAAAGCAGATCTAATACATAGAAACAAACAAAAAGAGTCAGCTAAAATGAGACAAGGAAACACCCCCCAAATGAAAGAAATGGAGGGATCCCCAGAAAAAGAGCTAAATGAAATTGAGGCAAACACTTTATCAGACATAGAGTTCAAAGTAATGGTTATAAGGATGCTCAAGGAACTTGGAACTACAAGGAACTTAATGGGAACAACATTACTGTGGAAAAGGACATAGAAACTATAAATAAGAAGCATGGAAATGAAGAGTGCAATATCTGAAATGAAGAATACACTAGAAAGAATGAAAAGCAGGCTAGATGAAGCAGAGGACTGAATCAGCAATTTGGAAGACAAGGTAGAAAACACCCAATCAGAGCAAGAAAAAGAAAAAAGACAAAAAGAACGAGGAGGGTTTAAGGGAACTTTGGGTCAACATGAAACATAACAATATCCATATCCTAGGGATACCAGCAGAAGAAAGTGAGCAAAGGATAGAAAACCTGTTTGAAGAAATAATGACAGAAAACTTCTCCAACTTGGTGAAGGAAAAAGTCACACAAGTTCAGGAAGCATAGAGAGTCCCAATCAAGATGAATCCCAAGAGACCCACACCAAGACACATCATAATTAAAATGTCATAGTTTAAAGACAAAGAGAATCTTAAAGGCAGCAAGAGAGAAACAGTCAGTTACCCAAAAGGGAGTTCCAATAAGACTGTCAAGTAATTTCTCAAAGAAACACTTCATGCCAGAAAAGATTGGTATAAAGTATTCAAAGTAATGAAAAGCAAGGATCTGCAAACAAGATGACTCTATCTGACAAGACTACCATTTAAAATGGAAGGCAAAACAAAGAGCTTCCCAGACCAAAAGAATAAAAAAGGCTAAAGGAGTTCATTAATACCAAACCAACATTGCAAGGAATAGTAAAGGGACTGCTTTAAGAAGAAAGCTTTATACATAGGTATAAAGGAAAAAAATGACAAAGTACCTGTCACGAATAGCCTTAAATATAAATGGATTAAATGCTCCAAACAAAAGACATAGGGTAGCTGAATGGATAAGAAAACATGACTCACATATATGCTGTCTATAAGAGACCCACCACAGAATAAAACATTTACACAAGCTGAAAGTAAAGGGATAGGGAAAAAAAAATATTCCATGCAAATGGAGATTTAAAAAAAACTGGGATAGTAATTCATACACTGACAAAATAGACTTGAAAACAAAGGCTATAACCAGAGACAAATAAGGTCACAACATAACACTAAAGGGATTGATCTAACAAGAGGATATAATCCTTGTAAACATATATACACCCATATAGAGAAAATCTTAATGGACTTTAAGGAAAAGATCAACAGCAATACAGTCACTGTAGGGGATAGCAACAATCCACTGTCACCAATGGATAGATCTTCCAAACAAAAATATCAACAAGGAAACAGTGACCTTAAGTGACATACTAGAACAAATGAGTTTAATTGATACAGAACATTTTATCTCAAAGCAGCAGAATACACACTCTTCTCAAGTGCACATGGATCATTTTGAAAGACACCAAATGATGGGACACAAAATAAGTCTTACAAATTCAAGAAAATTGAAATATCAAGTACTTTCACAGATCACAATGGCATGAAACTAGAAATCAACCTTAGTAAAAAAATCTCATTAAAAAACATGGAGGCTAAATAGCATGCTATTAAATAATGAATGGGTTGTCAATGAGACCAAGGAAGAAATAAAAAAGTACCTGGAAACAAATGAAAATGAACACACAACCCAAGACTTATGGGACACAGCAAAAGCAGTCCTGAAAGGGAAGTTCATAACATTACAGGCCTACCTCAAGAGATAGAAAAATCTCAAATAAATAATGTAATCTTATACCTACATGAACTAGAGAAACAACAACAAAGCCCAGAATGACTAGAAGGAAGGAAATAATGAAGATCACAGTGGAAATAAACGGCATGGAGACTTAAAGAAAAATTCAAAAGATAAATGAATCCAGGAGCTGGTTCTTTGAAAAGATAAAATTGATGAACCTTTAACCAGATTCATCAAGAAAAAAAGAGGACAAAAATTAAGTTAGAAATGAAAGAGGAGAAGTAACAACTGATATTACAGAAATACAAAGGATTGTAAAGAAGTACTATGAACTTCCTATAGTACTATGAAGTACTGTATACTAAGAAATTAAACAAACTGGGCAATGGATAAATTTCTAGAGACACAGTCTTCTAAAACTGAGTCAGGAAGAAGCAGAAAACCTGAATAGACTGATAACAGCTAATGAAATTAAAGCAGCATTCAAAAAACTCCAAGCAAACAAAAGTCCTGGTCAGGATGACTTCACAGGGGAATTT